AGGTTTTGACAACGTTGTCATGTCATCCGTCACAAAGGGGATGGTAACAGAACCGCCCCGCGACGCGGGACGGTTGCCTCGGGGCGCGGGACGGACTTTAAGTTCCACAAAAAGAAAAAGAAAAGAAAAAGAAATTTAAAAAAAAAATTATAAATTTTTTATCTTATATATATATTATATGTCACCCCGTTTTTTCGCATAAATCAGTCGGTGTTAACACGTTCAAGAGAGGTGTAATTTTTTCTACTTCTCTCCGGATCATTAAAGTAGGATATCCCATATGGAGTTGATACTCTCTGTTTTTCCTCTTTTTCTTTTAAGTGTAACTGGACTAAAATTTCTTATATAAAACGTTACTACTACCTTATCCTTTTTTATAATAAACCAGTTTATTGTTTTCAAGTCCTGGTTCCTCTAGTGCACTACTGTAGGCCGCTCGACTCGCTCTTGTGACCTGCCTCATCAGCCGCCCGTCGTGTCCATTAGTCTGTTATATTGATACTAAATTGGTTTTGACTTTCAGAGTTTCTACATTACGCGTCCCAGTCAAGGGTAATCACCTCATTTTTTGTAGACGCAGATTTACGGGCAGGTCATCAAACTGGTCTCGATTCTCGTTTCTTTCTCTGTGCGCCGAAGTACCGCCTTTACAAAGCACACTTCTCCTTGTGGCAGGGGTTCACCCCGATCGGTTAACGAATATGCTTTATGTTTCGCAATTTCCTTTTGGACATTGCATTCCAAACCTTCGTTAGACCTGTTACGATAACAAGTTAATTTCTTTCTCTCAGATTCCGCGTGAAAGCGTTTTCTTATTTTGGTTGCGTCTTCTCCGCGTAATCGCTCTATCTCCTAGCTTCGGTTAAGGTTTCCCTCTGCCTTACCCCATAAACAGGTTTTTACCAGTTTCGGGAGGTCCCATTTTTAACGACCTAGACTTCGATCTTCAGCCTCTTTAATTAGCATTGGATTCGGGCCGGAGGCGCTCCCATTTCTTCGGCCACCGTCAGAGGGGTGATGACCTGATTTTAGAGGCTGTGAAGGACTCTGCGACCAGATCACCTGTGTATGCGGCGTGGACTCTACCTCAGCAAGAGAAAGACATTCGCTACGGAGACTGGATAACACGCCACTTTCGTGAGTAGCTACGCAGTGGACGGCAGTGGTACAGTATATTTCCGCGTTGTGATAGTTGACTTGTTACTGCAATGTGTCTTCTTTGGCTAGTTATGTTGCTTTCCTTAATTGACTTGTACAGGATCAAAGAAATAAATTACAACGGACGAATATGTAATTATTTACAGAATTTACAACTGCGTAGTAATCTAGAGCGTCAACATTTAGTCCTACCTGTGTACCTTCTATAGTGAATTGACGTTTTGCGACAAGTTCTACTAAAACCTAAAGATTTACCAACACCTGCACCCCTAAGTATGTCTCTCGAGGCATCCGTAATGACGCGGTTTTTCTTCTGAATGCCGGTGCATCGCCCGTCAGGACATGCCGGACGGCTCCCTCGCGATCCAGCCATTGAGACCATCAGATAGTACACTCGCCCCCCTCCTGAAAGTTAAGTTTATCTAGCGCGACTAATCCTCTTCGCACTCTTTCCAAATTATTCTCTTTCTCTGTCCGACTTAAGATTATAACCTACACCCGGCTCAATCGGTATGGTTCCCTGACACCTGCCCACCGACTCGACGCCTCGCGGCGTGGCGCCCTTCGCAACGCCGCCTTGTGTAGGTTGTGAGCTGAATGGTGTATGTCGGTTCGTGTGATCTTGTAGTTGGGGTGTGTAGTAGTGGTGTTGTTGTTGGTGTGTGTGTGGGTTGTGGTGTTGTGTGTGTGTAGGGGCGCTGTGCATCTGCTTTGTGGGTTTCGTGGTGATTGTTGGAGGTGGTGGTGGAGGGTGCTAACCACACTGAAGATTATGGATTATCTCATATTTTTAAGCCTCAATTTGTCACCAGAAGTCATAATTTAAGGGGTCATTTCTCAAAAATGTCTTCCGGGGGAGGATCCCCCCGGACCGCCCTGGTTTGGTCCCCATTTCAATAGCCCCACCAAAAATATTTTTCCACCAGCCGCCACTGATCATAATGATGTCAACAATGACAATGCTATTTAAAAAAACGTTGTTACAAGCAAATACAGCAGTAACCCCCTAATCATGAAGTACTCTTGTGTGGTAGTAGGGTTCAAATAGAAGGCAGAGGAGTAGCAGAATATCGTTACACAGATTCACAAAACTCTAAATCTGTGGGCAACGATTTATAATTTTTTTTATCCATCTGTGGGGCATCATAGCTCGCCATAACCGCATCATTCAGTGTGATGAAAAAGTAGCTTTTGCCCTTCCAAACCATATGCTGCTTTATTTACACCACAGGTTTCTCCTATATTAACTATTTAATAAAGTTTGTATCCAAATGTAGTCACTCGGAACCACCATTTCTATGATACCAGTGATTCCACCTGATAAAGCCATTCACTCAATCTTACCCTTTGGGCAGAAACATGAAGTACACTATATACAGTTTATATGTTTGGTCTCCACTAGGTATTGTTGCTTATTAAAGAGCACTGCCATGTTTAATGCAATGTCATTGACATATCGCTGTACTGTGACAAAGTGTACACTTAATATTCAGTATACAACAAATAATTAAAGTCAATGACAACAAAAGTGGAGTTTATTATTAATATATAACTGTGGGAGGGTTGTGACTTTTTCAGGTCACAGTACAACTTTTATAATTGAGGCACCGGGTTTACTAAAAGAAGAGTTCAAAAGAGTGCCCATGTTTTGTGTAGGTTTGTGTTAGCACCTTGTCTAAAATCCTGCCCGTGACTCCCATGCCGTTCAGGATGGTCACGTTGACGATGGTGGGCATTCCTCCGTAGTAGATGGGCTGAGAGCAGTAAGGCCACATGTAGGGAGACTCTGTCAGGTCGATGTAGCTGGGGGACAGACTGCCAGGGGACAAGGACACAAACAAGTAAGTATAACTCTGGTTTTAATATTACAAACATATGTGCTTTTTGTCAAGTAATCAGGAGAAATGCAGAAACAAGGATACGTCAAAGGACAAGGGACTACAGATAACTGTGGTGGAAACTGTAGACAGAAAAACATGTAATGCATGATTTCTCCTTGTTTTCAATAGTCACTTTGCCCCTGTCAGTATTTCATGATTGAAACAAAAAAAATGAAATAATGTTGATAACATTCAATAAGCCACATGTTTTAGAATCAGTTCAGATAACATCAAATATCAAATATCTTGTTAAATGCTAAAGCAAGGACACATGTGCATTTAAAGAATCTTTGGCCTTGAATCATGTTACATTATGTATTATATAGATGCCAAAGATATCTAGCTCCACATTTATGATTGGCATGAAATAGTTTGACAAATTATGAGATAAACCAGTAGGATATAATTATTACCTGGCTTATTTATCCAGCATTACACAGGAAATCATTTTCTGTGATTTATGATTTTAGATGAGAACAATAAAAAGTGACTGAAATGTCAATGTACATTTTTTGTGTGGATTTAAAGCCAAGGTTAACGGTGATTGCAAAACAAAATAGAAAACACAATTTGATTAGGTTTTCATCATTTATTTGTTGATCATATTGAAATTCAAAGTTCTAATTTCTTATTTTAAGAATAAGTGTTTCGGCTTATCTGGAAGTATTTTAACGCAAACACGTTTATTTTTGGGCAATTTATATTCCCTTCCTTTCTAAGAAGGATAATTCACAGCATGAAAACATTTGTATTAGTTTTTTTTTATTTTTTATTATTGTACATTAATACATAAAAAGAAAATAATCAGATAATTAGTTTTTCTATATTTTCATGTGTATGTAGGCGTGTTATCCAAAACGACCTATTTATTAATTCATACAAGACTATTTTCTATTAACACTAATGTATAGGTGTGAGTATGATATCACATGAATGCCCTAGACACCTACTGACTATGCATGAGTTTACGCTGAGCAGCCTGCATGAGAATGAATCACAGCATACTATATTGATTACATTTCTCACTTTTCCAGGTGGTCTGGAGACGGACGCTAATGTGTTCCTTTTTAGAAATAAATTGAAAAGTGGCAAAATATAGCGAGAAATTAATCAAATGGGCATCAATGTGTGGTGTGGCATAATGCCTGCATTGCTTAGTAAATGACTTAAAAACTATCCCAATGCACGTGTGTGTGAATATGACCGACAGCAAATCAGATTGATTAGCCGATCAGCTTGGAATCTACTTGTGTAAAAGCTGGACACCATTTATGAACCCTATGAGACACATGTAGCTGAGGAACAGCCTTTGGATGTACTCAGGCTTCACACATGTGCTCACTGAGATGTCTCTACCTGGCCTGAGGTTTGTAGCTGTTGAGGACCTGGTAGGCTCGGATCAGGTCTAGCTTCCCGTGGCCCTGCTCGAACATGTTGACCCCCGGCAGCCTGCGGGCCGACGCGATCAGAGCCTGCTTCATGGAGGCGGGGTTCACCAGATCCCTGTTCTGGACGGTGCTGTAGGACACAGAGGAGGACAGGCTGGGTTTAAGGTTACATTCCCTAGATTCAAAATCAGAGCAGTGCTGGAGGGGAGACAAGGGAGGGGCTGGCATTTGTTCCCTGGGAGAAGGGAGGGCCGACTGTTGTCAACAAGGGTGGTGTGATATTTAACCCAGATACATGAGCTCACTGAAGGGACTTATGTAAAGGCGGGATATTGAAAGACTGAGAATAATACCCAACATTACTCAGCGACACACCCCCTTCCTCTGGGACATGTTACACTGGTTTTCTCGCTCTTGTCCAGGATTACGGAACAAGAGATCATTACAACAGAGAAAAAACAACAACTTGTGTTTTTCAAATGCCACCACGGTTCAGCTGTAACACACCCTCCCTTTGAATGACACCACTTCAGCCAAGATCCTCAGAGACTTCATCTAAAACTACTGAGACTCAAAGTTTCCAGTGAGTCTCGGGCTTTAAGACACATATTTCCATGACTATATTGCCATAAAACATGTTATTATATATGGCAATATCTTGGCAAGTTTTATATTAGAGAAGGCGGCATTAAGCGAGATTTCTTATCATTAGTTTGACTGCAAAAATCAGTCCTGCTAACTTGTCCCTGGGCAAGATGCTGCCTTATCATAATGGGCGTATTCAGCACATATTCATATTTGAGAATTAAGGTTTCTCTTGAATATCATTTAAATTATTAGAACTGTTTCTGCATAGTTTTAAATTTACTAGGTTATGTTCGCATTATGACACAGGTTTTAGTGCTGTAACGTGACAGTTGAGTAATGATGATGAATACACTAGCTATGTAAAACGGCCAATGGTAAAATGTCTCGTGTTTTTCCATGAAGCATCTTACATTCATAACGCTAACATAGGGTTTATGTGTAAATGTAATGCATTAACCATTTAAATTAAAGCTGGCATTTTAATGACAGCATGCCCATAGGCCGATGAAAAAAGTATTAACATGCAGTTTGCTATGTATGATTCTTAAAATCTTCATTTTGTTACTAGCACAAACCCAGATTACACAATGCTGAAGCTGATGGGAATATCATCCGTTGTGCAGCTAACTACTCACAAACCAATAGAAAAAAGGGTTTGGATGAAAGCATTAGAAGAAGAATTAAGGTCATCTCCAACGCCTGTAATATATCATCAATATTCACATTCATATTCACAACTTTAGTGGAAGCTCTGAAGCTGCAGCTCACAGTTACAAACTAACAAATAAGTGAACATCTCTATGAACATAGAGACCTTCCTAGCAAGGATCAAACTCCAATCGCTTAATGACAGCATAGTCCTGTTTATCACACTGACCTGGCCAGGAGAGTAACAGCACCAGCCACCACAGGAGAGGCCACGCTGGTGCCGGACAGAGAGCGACAGCCCTCCTTCATCCCAGACCCCCGGACCCCTGAACCGTAGGTGACGATGTCGGGCTTCACCCTGCCGTAGCCCCCGGGTAGCTCCTGCATACAAACGGAAGACAGATCATGAGATGAAGACAATAGAGTCCAAAGTGGTTACAAATAACATGTTCTGCACTCTCCTGTTTAGAATTGTGTTCCAACTACAATGAAGTCCTAATCTAAAGCCACAATGCAAATCTCACTTCTTTAGAAAACATGGGGCGTCCCCCCGACATCGAGCTATGATTATCTGCTTCAGACGTGAATGTATGTTATGATTCACTTTAGTTAGTCATGATACGTTTTTGTTATCGCTGCTATCTTGTCTTTTAGCAAACCGGTAATTCGATCCCACCCCCTGCAGTTAACTAGTGGAAAGGTCTTTGGGCAAGATACAGAACCCTGATTTGCTCATGTAGGCATGTCTAAGGTCTTGAAGTGGATGTAAGCTGCTTTGGATATAAGTGTCAGCTAAATAACGTATTAATAATGTAATGCAGTATACAGTCATCTAGCCGGGGATGATGTAATTGACTGATAGATGTACACTTCCACACAACACTAACCAACAGAAGGCAGAGACAATAATTAATTGATCGAGCAGAAAGGAAAAAAATGACTAGAAATTATTATGGAAACTTATCACAAGGCTTATTTGAATACTCAATTCTGATTGGTCAATTTGAGACATTTCCGAGGTTGTTAATACTCTCTAACATGAACGTTGCTGATGAGGATCAAGGGACTATGCGCAGTCATATCAATCCACAGAAAGAAGTCCGGACGATTTAACGTCTGCTGTGGACAACAAATATAAGTCTTTAACTGTCAGAAAACACCATGGCTACTTTCGAATATTATTCTTATGGAGTGCTGTCTCTTCCTCCTTGCCTGTTCATGGCTGACTGACAGCAGAATAGATTGACTGATTCTGTGAAACTCTTAATCAGATCCCAAAGCAGATGTCTGCAGATAAAAAAAGTGTATGGCTGATAGGATATGGATGAGAGATCAGGAGCTTTCATTATGGTCCACTAGCTCATAAAGTAGAGGGTAGAAGTTTGCTGTAAAATCTGATAAGAGATATGGAGTAACTCACCCAAGTGGTCATGCCTCTGGAGGAAAACCGAGCGATGTTGTCCTCAAAGTCGATCCCCCCCACCCCGATCACGTCCATCTGGTCTGCTGGGTTGTTCAGGGTGCTGACAGAGACATGTGCATTGTTTTAATTACAAGACTTAAAGAAGCTAACTTCTCAGCACTACAACATAAAGGGGGTAAATAGAGAGCCTCTCTTTCCTATTCTGTACTTTAGTGGTGTTTTATATAGAGGGAAGAGTCAGCAGATGTTCAGCAGGGTCATAAACCCCCTTGGCCCAGGGGTCATTTGGATAATTAGATAGGTGAAGTGGTGCAGGAGAAGTAAGCCATTTTGTGTAGTAAATACATTCTGCAACAGTGAGAACATTTAACATTTTGACAATATTCATTTGAACTAATGCTGGTGTAATTTGGCAAAGAAACCCATATTGATAATTGTGATTCTGCTGCGAGACCATGACATTTTGCAGAACGGCGACAGGTGACAATTTTAGGATAATGCTGCTGCTGTAGAGCATAACATATAAATAAGACATTTAAAGAGGTAGTATAAGTGGAAAAAGAGTCAGAAAGTCCATTCTTTAGTTTACGTTAAATTTGACCAAGTAATAATGAAGCAACAAAGCTCCTGGGTGGATTGAAAGGTCCGTGTTGGCCTTATTTAATTGTCAATTTAGCAATTTAATTTATGAGAAAAAATTCATCTAAAATTGCAGAATTTTGTTAACTTTTTGGTACCACAACAAAAGGCAAACATGGAAAACCAGAACCAGGAAATGATTACCTAAAATTATTTATGATCATACAACGTTATTTTCAGTATATCATAATATTTGCCAATTATACATAATGCATTCAATAAATGTGACATAGTATATGTTTATTGAAAGGTAATAAGTAAATCTTTGCTAAAATCAACATTCGCCCACTGTTAGTCAACAAGCGTCCTAACTCCTGTCGCAACAGTTCTGACTAAAGGTCTGGTTTACAACAAATGTTACTGTCAAAAGCAGGCAAACAAATATTCAAGGTCGTTTTTGAGGCAACTGAATCCAATGCAATTTCAGACTTAAAATCCACTTTTCAAGAGATGCAGATACTCCAGTGAAACAGGAGGATTGTATATCAAAATATCTTAGGAGCTAAAGGGGTGGCATACCCATACAGAGGTCCATCGTTGCCGATAGCAGAAACCATGATCACCTTGTTGGCAGTGAGCTCCCATACCTGTCAATCAAACAAGAACATTGGTTATGGAAAAATCTAATTTCCTCAATGAGTTACATTTTTTAATTCTTTTGATTTACTCTGCAATCATTTCACATAGATGGGCCTAACTGCTTCTTTCACACTGTATCCTTAAATCTTAAATAGGTGACGAAGCCCAGTAAAAGGGGCACATGTAATATCTATATTCCGTGTTTAATGTAGCAGGGGACATGTCACAGTTCAATGGTTGCCATGCACTCGTCTATCATTAGGGTTGACCTGTTTGTGCTTAAAGCTGACCTGTTTATTTTCCAGCTCATTAACACATTGTGTAAAGGGTGCAACTTAAAGGGATGACGACTCCGAACAAACAACAAAACATCTGCTACCAGTTCTCATTGACTGCAGGCTAGTCACAGCTGGGGTGGGTCTCTTTCTGACAGTATAATGAGAATAGAACTAGTGTTTTTTACCTTATCAACAAAGGGGTGGTCCATGAAGTCTGGACCCCCAATGCTGAGATTAAGAACATCAATCTTCTTCAGTATGGCGTAGTTAAAGGCATCCAGGAACCACGAGGTGTACGAAACCTGGGAGGGGAGATATACCAACAATTATAGATTTAGACAGATACATCATTGACCAGTGGATGAGGCTTAACATAGTATCAGTATATTTCTATGCATGAAGCTGCACTGGAGAATTCAACAATCATTCAAATAAATCACATCTAAATAATCGAGTCTGAAAAAAGCATAAAGCAAGCAACGTTTATGCTAAGCTAAGGCAGGACGACAATGCTGGAGTGAGTGAGTGAGTGAGTGAGTGAGTGAGTGAGTGAGTGAGTGAGTGAGTGAGTGAGTGTGTGTGTGTGTACCTGGTTGTTGGTGAACACTCTGAAGATGTGCAGCTCTGAGTCGGGGGCAAAGCCCTGACACTCCCTCATACTGGCGATCACTCCTGCTACAAAGGTACCGTGGCCCAGACCTGAAAATATAAGCAGGAAGGTGAACATCATCCATGTTTTATATAGGTATGGCCCTACAATATATTATTCAAATATAGCATGATAGGTCCACTTTAAATTCTGACATACAGCACATATTGAATATTTTAGAGCAAATTGTGATATTTTTATTGTACTATTATTATTTTTTATAGATATATATTTATTGCAAATATTTGTCTTTCTTTTTGTTTTAATGTAAAATATTCTTTATACTACTTCAATATTTGCATACATGAAGATTTTTGAATGTGTAAACATACTAGGTAATAAACCTGACATTGGGCTAACATATTTCCCAGAATTCCCTTCTACACTGCCTTAAAAACCCAGCATTTACAGTCCATCCCCATAGAGATCACTAATAACAACCATCATTGTTAACATTATTCACATGGTTTTGTAATCATTTCCATTGCTAGTCATCAACATTATCTTTTTTTCCCCCTCCTCCTTACCATCATCTAGTGTCTTTTCATTAGTCCAGTTGGTCCTTTCCTTCACGTTCTTAAAATGTGGGTGCTTCTCACTCAGGCCTGTATCAAACACTGCCACCTTTACACCAGCACCTGGACACAGAAGCAAGATTAAATCAATAACTACAGCAACATATTGCCAGAAGCACACACACTGTTTCATTAAAAGAAATCCCTCATTTCTGTTTGATCATATACAAATGTTTTGCCAGATGTTTGTCCTCGTCCCCTCTATCAGAGAGGTCATAGGTGTCAGCTCTAACCTGTGTGTCCCATCTGCCAGAGTACGTCTGCCTGCAGGATCTGGGCCACGTGGCGGGGGATGGCCCGCAGGAGTCGCCGGCTGGAGTGGCGTCCTGTGGCGTGCCAGAAGCCCGAGCTCAGAGATAGGCTGGTTCTTCGGAATGTGCGAGATGACTGCCATGACTGCGTCCCGCGGGTGGCGTTGCAGGGTGCAGAAGGCTCAGGGGCTACAGAGACAGGACACAAGCAACTGTGTTAAAGAAAACGTCTAATTCTTCCACAAACTGAATTTAGGGTCGCTACAAAAGGGAGTTTGTGACTTGAGGCTATCTAGCTTTTTTGATTATGCAATTATACTACGACATAGAATTTTTTTTTTCATACAAAATAGCCAGGCGCTGAATGTGGTATTTTGCTAACCGGAAGATGCATCGCAAGGGCTATCAACAAAAAGCAATGCGAATATTGCAGAAACCAGATCTGTGGCAATAACATGGTACTTACACATTTTATTCAGTAGGGTAATCTTTACATTTTAACATCACTTTTCTAATTGAGTAAGTGTAAATGCAAAATCCAGAAGTGAAAATCTAGGCTAGAAACAAACTCCATCACAAAAGCAAGACTTCAGGTCACCACCGCTAAGCTAAAGGCAGCTAATGTTCTGCACGAAGACGTTAAGTAGTTTCATTTAAACACTCTTTTCATGACGCGTAAAAGCTTCAATACATTCTCTACTGGGGTATTAACTGATCTGAACTTATGTTGTATAACAAACGTGGAAAATATCTCGGAAGCCTGTATGAACCCCATCTTATTTCAGGCATCTAACCTAAAAACGTGTTCAAAAAATAATCTGACTGGAGGACGAAGGAACCCGTGCGCCAACTCATTTTCAGGTTTAGGACTCATTCCTGCACCTCTCAATTCCTAATAAGTGTTTCTCCAAGTCCTCTCACAATCAAGAGGGCGGCAAAGAATACCAAAAAAACGTAATTAACTCATCTCGCCTTAAATAGATCATAACATGATCTATTTAAGGCAGGCACGTGGGGGTCAGATTAATCTGAAGATACTTTGGTTTAAAATGAGACCAAACGTTTCTGTTTAATTACATTTTTTAGTCAAAAAATATCACTTGAGGCTCCTACCAGCCAATTAAAAAGGAGGGAGAAATCAGCAGTACGTGTAAAACAGTCAATAACATAGGTCTTTTTAGGTTAGCACAACCACTGGTTTGATGGGTCGAGTAGTATTCGAGATAAGCTGTGGACAGGCACATGGCGGAGATAATGACATGCCTTGTTCCTGCCGTCTGCCTCTACAGCCCATCCTGCAGACATCTCCATGTTAACCTAATCATTCCTTTATTATGATCTCATCTCTTATTTCTCCCTTGTACTTTCTTTCCCTCACTTCCGTCTCCCTCCTTCCATCTTGGATTCCTGATGTGAGGCAGCCTCATTTGAGCCTCACTTTTAATCCCTTGCACAGAGCAAATGAACAGGAGGCCATTAGCAAACAGCAGCAGATCCCCGCAGGGCTTTTTATGCCTTTCAAGTAGTGAAACACAGCGGTGATGTCTTCTCTCTTATCTGCTCATTAATTACCTCGATAGGTAGCTGCTTCGAGGACTCACAAATTGACCGATGAGAGACAAATTCGATCAATGCCTACTTACCTTGCTCAGGTATACACTTCTTTGATAAAGGCTTATCTAAATTCCCAGGAAGCTAAGTACATATACACACCAACAAGTCTCAACACTTTAGATATGGTATTCAGGGCGGCTTGTATTAAATTAGTTCAATGCACTTATTGTAAAGCTGGTGTTCATTTCTGACACGCACTAATGCATCCTGAATATATTTACATATTTCAGGAGCAGGTTACTTATTAGGCTAAACATGGGCAAACTTGCTCTGTTGTATTTTCATTAGCGAGTGCTGCAGTGTATATATTAAAGAATTGCTGATGTTGAAGACAACATGTGTATAGATAAATCCTAGAGTGTGTATGAAGTCACCCACTAGACATAGGGTCCAATATAAACATGTGATGTGTGAAGCCAGCAGGGAACTTGAACTGAGTTAACAGGAAATCCATGAAAGGCATCAAACAGCTGAATGAATGCCCCATGTGTCATGAACAGCTTGACGTTTGAATGAAGCATCGCCAACAATGTCAGGCAGAAGTTTGAGGCCTAACGTATGAGGAGAGAAAAAGTAAAAAATATATAAAATAAATGAATACTCTATTAATTGAACTGAATATAAAAATAATAAACTAAAACGTTGGTATTTACCTTATTCAAAACAAGAATCATAATACTTTATGAATCCTGGAGGAAATTATTTTCAAATGATAGAAATAAAAGATGAACAAAAAATAGAAATACATTTGTATATAAAAAACTAAGAAGCAAAAGTAAGAATGTGCAAGAATAAAAAGAAGATATTTATATAAAAATTATAGGTCGTAGTCAACTGTAAAAAAAACAAAAATAAAACAGAAAACTACAGTATACAAGGATAAAATTATTTTTCCAAACAAAAGGAGTTAAAGTAAAAAAAAAAGCAATAATAAAATGAGTATAAATAAGTGATGAGGCACTTCTATTTATATATATCTAAAAAAAAATTAAAAAGCCGGTTCACGTCCCGATTGGACCAACAACAAAAAAAAGAGAGTGAGCTGGAAGCTGGAGAGGTGCCAGTTCATATCCAAGGCCACTGCCGAGGTGCCCTTGAGCGAGGCACCTAAGCTCGAAACTGCTCCCATGGCGCCGGGTACCTGGCAGCCTCTCTGCTCTGCCACTTCTCCTATCTGCATGTGGTTGTGTGTTTATCAGTGTTTTCGCCAGACCAGGGCTGAGAGGGCGTCCACCCCGAGAGCAGGGGGGTTGAATTTTGACTTGAGCCGTCCCTTATAGATACTGTCTTTTTACGTTAGTGAGCCGGATCATTTGGCTCGGCTCTCTTAAAGCGCCGGCTGTTTCGGTTCCCAAACGGCTCTTCATGTTACCACAGTTTATCACGGAGCCTCAGTTTCGCCGCTGCGAGGCTCTGGTGCTCGCAGCTCACGCGCGTGCTCCACTAGCACTGCTCATCGCGTCCAAATCGCGCACGTTCCGTGTTGTCCTGTAGCAGGCACCGCCAATGTTACGGCTGCTGCCTTTCTGGTCGTCTTCTGTCTTATCTGTAAATGAGCTGTGCGGGTGCCCTGATGTCATTGGCTGCCATCTCCTGGTCCGCCTCCTGAAGACTGTGATTGGAGCACGCAGGGCCCGACGCACTCCAATCGCAGCACACAGCCGGCGCGCACCTGCTGGATATGACTTCAAAGCCTGTGACTGAGGATCACTCTGGAGGCTCTGCTGTGTGAGCGGATGCCTCTCGCTAGTGGCTAGTTTGTTTGCGAAGCTGTTAACAGTGGTTAACTCGTGTGGTCTGTGTTTGTCAGTATTGTTGTGATTAGATGTGCTTCGATTAGTTTAGTATTGTTTGACTGTTGTCCTCTACCTTAGCTGTGTTTTCTTACAGCCTTCCTTTGTTAGTTGTACCACTTTTAAAGTGAGGTTTTGTTTCGTTCTTTATTTAGTGTGTGAGTATTTATTTTCCCTGTATGTGATTAGACTCCTTTTTTAGAGTCCTCCTTTTGTTGGTTATTTATCAACCTGTGCCCTTTTGGCCTTTTTGTTTGTTCCAGGCTGCATGCCTGCCATTTTTACCCGGCTATATAAAATAAACCCTTTATAATTTTACCAATTCCAACTGGTGTGCGTTGTTTCCTCTACCCCTAGAGGGGGACGTAACATACGGTATACCGTATGTTACGTCCCCCTCTAGGGGTAGAGGAAACAACGCACACCAGTTGGAATTGGTAAAATTATAAAGGGTTTATTTTATATAGCCGGGTAAAAATGNTATGAGACAAATAAAGAGCTTTTTGAACATTAAAACATGGAGACATGTCCCAGTAGAGACACTAAATACTGATATGAACCTGAAAATGAGCAGATAGGGCCTCTTTAACCAGCGCTATGTAAAACTGAGGGAAACTGCAGACTTGGGTGATCATTCTTTGTGGGTTTGTGACTCAGAGGTACAATTGTTTTTGACATACACAGATACTTTTTTAAACACACTATTTGCAGTGAAATGCTTGTATCCTTGCGATTAGGATGGGCGTAATAATGTACTACTACAGAGTTCATAAATCCCAATGATTTCAATACTGTCGTTGGATGCTGTATTGATGTGACTTATTTTACTGCACGTAATGCACTACCAGGTCTGTGCACTACAAAATACAACAACTTGTATTGTTACTTTGTATTGCAGAGAACTAGTAAAATGAGTAGCTGGAGCTACGGCAGACCTAAATATTTGGGAACATGTGTCTTTACAACTGCGATAAATAATGTCCACATGCACAGCTACAATCCAGAGATAATCGCAGCCTAGACGTTGTAATAGGTGGAGGTGAAATGTATGTTGGAGGCTTATGCTGTGTCATGTATCTTTAGCCAGCACTGGTGATTTACCTGCTGTGTGAGGAGGGGGGGTTAGTTGTCTACTGGGACACTGAAGTGTGTGTGTGTGTGTGTGTGTGTGTGTGTGAGTGTGTGTGTGTGTGTGTGTGTGTGTGTGTGTGTGTCTCTGTGTGAGAGTTTGTGTGTGTGTGTGCGAGAGAGAGAGTATGTGTGTGTGTGTGTGTGTGTGTGTTCAAAATTCCTGTCTAAGTAGGGGGTAGAGTTTGACTCATTACTAGTCACTCATACTAAACGCTTCTCGGAAAGTACGTTGAGAGTAGTCATGCACAAACAAGCAAGCAGAGTCACATTCAATTAGCAGAAAATATAAACAAAAGCAAAAGAAGAGTAATTGTGTCATATTAGCTTGGGTAAAATGTTAAACTCGTTACAGTTCAGATCTTAACGTTCTGTCCCCACATGTGTATCACTCTGCTGCCCTCTTTTGTCCGGTGGACAGAGCTGCATTGATGCCAACAAACTACTTTCTTACACATTTCTTTTTTTAACGTCCTCCCCTCAACTAAAAAAAGGGTTTTGTTTATTGTAAATTCACTTTGCAGATTAATTTTCTACAGGCTGTTTTTACATTAATCTGTTCTCTATATCATTTATCTATACTTAATTTAAATCAGTCTACCCTGTATGATTTTGTGACATCACATCTAGTTTGTAAGCCAATCATGGTCCAGTATCCGACTAACACAAGAACACTGTTACGACCCTGGTCGTTAGGTGTATTGTGTGTAGAGATACATTTGTCTTTCTTTCAATTAGGCTATGTTTCATTTTAGTTAAGTTTTAGTTTGTTTTCACAGGATTTTTGATAACTTGAATTTAGTTTGTAGTTTTTCCGAAAGGCTTCTTTTTTGGTTTCATAGTAGTTTTAATTTGTGTTGTTTGGGTGAAGTATGTAAGAGCTATACAGTTCAAATCTTTGATATAGGGATTCACTTGAGTACTAGTCTCTACCACACTCTTGTCACCAGTAATATCTTCCCGACCACATAAGACTTGTGCTGAATAGCTTGGTTAAACTGTATATGATCAACTGCAATATTACAGTTCTTGTTATTTTATTCTGCAAGACTATACTGCAGGTGAAAAACATGAGGGATTAATTATTAATCAATTGCGGTATAGCGCAATCTTCTGGAATGTGAAATCAGTTTTTTGTGGTTCAATGTTGCAAGAGTTGACAGAAACTCATGTTCCAGCTTGATCTCCTTTTTTTCTAACTGATAGTATTGTTTAAATTGCAATTTAATTAAAAATGTTTTTCTTTGGATTCAATTTTCGAAAAGGACATCAATTGTAATTCTTTTTTTTAAAGTCACTATTTTTCAATGTTCCATTTGATTTTTAAATTCATAGTGAACAAACACAGACAATGAACTCCTCAGTGAGGAAGTAAACATCATATGCCTAGCATTTGAACTTCTGAAATATTTGGATATTTATGTTATGTTCAGAACCTTTTGAGTTTGAAAAAAAACATGGCCACCACAAATGATTCAAAACAGAGTATTTTTTTAGGACTAATATTTCCAGAACTAGAAATGTGCTCTCCCTCGTTACCTTCACCTACGTTAGGGAACCAATGTCCTCCTGTTGACAGTACTGGCATTAAACATTAGTTCACTACAGTTTTCTCTAACCTCTGTCCCCCTCCAGCCGTGGCCCAATGTGTCCAACCTGGCCAAAGACTTTGTGGAGCGGATCCTGATGGTGGACCCCAGCGAGCGGCTGACAGCGGGCCAGGCCATCAAGCACCCCTGGGTGGTCAGCATGGCCGCCTCCTCCTCCAACAAGAACCTCCAGCGCTCCATATCTCAGAACCTCCTGAAGCGGGCGTCGTCGCGCTGCCACAGCACCAAGTCGTCGCAGTCCACCCGCTCCAGC